CTCGATCCCAGGACCCTGAGATCATGACCTGAGCCGAAGGCAGACGCTTAACCATCTGAGCCACCCAGGCGCCCTCCAGTAAAATTCTTTGTGCAAAGATATATTTGTTTTTCTTGGGTAAATACCCATCAGTGGGATTGTTGTGTTGTATTAAGTGTCTGTGACATTATAAGAAATTGCTAACCTGTTGTCTAAAGTGACTGTACTGTTTTGCATTCTTCAGGTAATGTATCAGTGCTCAGTTGCTCCACATCTTTGTCAACACTTGGTATTATCACTCTTTAATTTTAACCGTTCCAATATGAACCGTTAGCTCTTTGTGGTTTCAATTTGCTCTTTCCTGATAATTAATGATATTGGACACCTTCTCCTGTGTTCTTTGCCAGTCATATATATTTGATGAAATAATTTCTCAAGTCTTGTGCCCATTTTAAAAGCGTGTTGTTTGTCTTCTTATGGCATTTTAAGAGGTTTTTCATTGTTACTTATATTTTAATATTTATGTATTTTAATAATTTATATTTTAATATAGTTTATATTACCAGTCCTTTAGCAGATAGATCCTGTGTAAGTATTTTCTCCTAGTCTGTGGTTTGCCTTTTCATTTTCCTAACCACGCCTTTGAGGAGCAAAAAAATTTAATTTTGATGTGGTTGATTTTTTCAGGTTTTTCATGTGTGCTATGAAATCTTTGCCTGACCCAAGATCACAAAAAATATTTCCCTCTGTTTTCTTCTAGAAGTTTTATAGTTTTAACTTCAATATTTAGGTATATTTTTAGTTCATTTTTGTAGTTGATAGAAGATTTGAGATTTGAAGGAGATTTGTTTTTTGTTTGCATGTGGACATCCACTTGTTGCAGGATTATTTGTTCAGAAGACTGTTCTTTTCCTGGTTGGAATACCACTTGGCATCTATGTCAGATATCACTAGGTCAGATGTCTGAAGGTCTCTTGTGGATTTTCTCTTATTCCATTGATCTAAATGTTTGTCTTTGTGCCAGTACCACACTGGGTTGATGACTGTACCTTTTATAGTAAATCTTAGAATCAAGTAGTGATCATTTGGGGAGAATTCAAAACTTAACAGGACTGAATTTTCTGATGTATAAACATGATGTCTCTAAGCATGCTTTAATTTTCCTCATCAGTGTTTTGTAGTTTTTAGTCTTGCTCAGATTTTCTTAATTATTTTATATTTATTATTGATGCTACTGTAAATGGTATTACTTTTGTTTTTAGTTTTACATTTTAATTATTCACTGCTAATATATAGAACTAGTGCTGCTTTTTTATATATTGACTTTGTATCTTGCAGCTTTGCTAAACTGATTTATTATAGCAGCATTTTTGTAGATTACTTAGGATTTTCTACATAGGCAATCATGCTGTCTATGAATAAAGAAAGTTTTATTTCTTCCTTTCCAGACCTATGCATTTTATTTCTTTTTCTGCTATAGTGCATTGAAGAAACTCCTATACAGTGTTGAATAAAAGTGATGAGCGTGGACATTCTTGCCTTGTTCTTGATCTCAGAGTAAAAGCATTTAGTCTCTAGCTATTAAGTATGATGTTAACTGTAGGTGTTTTGTGTGTGTGTGTTTTTTTAATAGATACCATTTATCAGACTGAGGAATTTCGTTTCTGTTTCCAGTGTTCTATGAGTTTTATCATGAGTAGATGTTGAATTTTGCCCAACACTTTCCTACATTTCTTGATAATTAATTTGTGGAGTTTTTGGTCTGTTAATAAATTGATTTTTCAACATTCCTGGGATGGCCATTGCAACTTGATTTTTTTTCTGTGTTGCTGGATTCAGTATCTTAATTTTTGTTCAGGATTTTGCATCTGAGTTCCTGAGGGATATTGATTTCTACTTTTTTTATAATGTCTATGTCTAGGTTTGGTGTCCGGGTGATCCTGGACTCATAAAGATGAGCTGTATGTTGTTCCTTCCTCTTCTATTTTGTGTAAGTGTTTGTGTAGAATTGGTATAATTTCTTCCTTAAATGTTTGGTAGCATTCACCACTGAAGCCTTCTGGCCCTGTAGGTTTCCTTATAGGAAGGTTTTTAACTGAATTCAATGTCTTTAATAGAATAAGGGTATTCAGATTATCTTCTTGAGCAAATTTGGTAGTTTGTGTCTTCCATGAAATGTTTCCATTTAATCTAACTTGTTGAATCTGTTACAGTAATGTTGTTCATAATATCTCTTTGTTATCCTTCCAATGTCTGTAGGATCTGTAATAATGACTTCTTTTAATTACTGATACTTATAGTTTTTAACTTTTGTTCTTGGTCAGTCTGGGTAGAGTTTTACTGATATCATTGATCTGTTCAGGGAATCAGCTTTTGGTTTCATCGATTTTCTTTTTCTCTTCTCTTTTTTTTTTTTTTTAAGACTTTATTTGTCAGAAGGGGGGCGGGCAAGCAGAGGGAGAAGCAGGCTCTCCGCTGAGCAGGGAGCCCGATGTGGGACTAGATCCCGGGATCCTGGGATCATGACCTGAGCCAAAGGCAGACACTAAACTGACTGAGCCACCCAGGCGTCCCCGATTTTATTTTTCTGTTTTCTGTTTCATTGATACCTGTTCTTTGTTTTCTTTATCCTATTTGCTTTGGGTTAGTCTGCCCTCTTTTCTGGTTTCTTAAGGTAGAAGCTTAGATCATTGATTTGAGACCTCTCTTTTCTAATATAGGCATTCAATGTTATAAATTTTCCTCTAGACACTGTTTGCTCTAAACAGTTTGTTTAGCGGAATCTAAACAAAGTCGATCTTTTTTTCTTTTCTTTCAGATAAAACATCACATTTTTATATGTGATGTTTGAATTTTTGAGTTTGAGATATTTTCTGATGTTTAACTATATACAATGATTCGTGAAGATTTCTTCTTTGATTCATGGATTTTTTAATAAGTTTTTGTGTGTTTTTTTTGTTTTGTTTTGTTTTTTAAATGTTTGCAGTTTTTCCAGGTAACTTCTTACTTTGTTTTCTGATTTTAATACTGTTGTGGTCAGAGCACATATGTAGTATGATTTTAATTCTCAAATTTGATACTTCTTTTATGCCACAGTTTATGGTCTGCTTTGGTGAACGTTCCATGTGTACTCGAAAAGAATGTGTATTCTGCTATTGTTGGGTGAATTGCTCTGTATGTGTTGGGTAGAGCAAAGTGGTTGGTAATATTTTTCAAGTTTTCTGTCTACTTGTTTTATCAGTTAGGGGGAGAGGACTGTTGAAATCTCTCATGGTAATTTAAAAAATTATATTACTTTAAATTTAATGAAAGTAGATGGTTATGATGTTAATAAGATGACTGAGAGCTGTAAAGGCTAAATTAAAAAAAAATATTTTAGGGGAATGTTTTCTTCTTAATATGCATTAGATTCCCATAGACTTGTTTTCCATCACCAGTCCTGTCACTTACTACCTCAGCAACCCTGCTGAGGTTATTCTTTGGATACAGGTAATACAAACTGCTTGTAGCTATTGTGGGCATTAAATTAATAATTAGTTACATAGAATGCTTATTCCGATCCCAAGCGGACAGTAACTCTTGAATACATAGAAACTATTTTTGTATTTTTTTTTAACTTTCAAATAAAGATATCAAATATGTATTTTAATCTTTGATGCATTGCATTTGTTAACTTTTTTTTTTTTAATTTCACCCTTGGCCTGCACCAGATTTTCTCTTTGTGTATCTTTTTCCTGTTGCTCTTATTGGAGCCTTAATTGAGCATAGCGTGCCTTGATTGTGTTGTGAGAACGACTTTTTCTTGTCATAATTTTACTCCCTTTATAGTAGGTAGGAGTGTTGGTACGATAGATAAACTTGCCGCAACTATAAAATCATCCCACTTACTTCGCTGTCTGAAAGTCGATCTGTTTTTCTTTTCTTTCAGATAAACCGAGAAAGCTGGTGTACAATAAAGCCGTGCCCTGATACAGCGTCTCTGTTGGCCCCCGCACAGAGCCCAGGTGAGCAGGGGTCTTCCAGCTTCCAGTTGCTCGAATCACTGCATCTAAAGTGTCCATTTTTTGCACTGCAGTCCCCCTCTGATTACAGACCACTTTCAGAGATCTGTCCTTCCTTACCATGCCATGCAGTAAGTCAGAGGGGGGTATGTGTGATTTGGGTTCGTAGGCATTTTGTCTCAACTGAGAATGGGTAGTGTCATATAATGAACCTAAATCTCTGGTTAGTAGTGAGTCTTCCCATGTGGCTTTCTGCCTCATCACTTCTGTGAAGGCATCTGTGCTGTGTGCACATACATAGGATTGTGCTTTCTCAGTCTGGTAAAACTATAAATGTTTGTTGTTAAGAATTAAACCTGTGGCTCTCCATTTTGGCTGCACTTTGAAATTATCTGGCAATATACTGCTGCCTGGGTCCTGTTCCCAGAGGTTGTGATTTAATCGGGCCTGGGGTGTGAGCTCGGCCTCAGAATCTTTGAAAGCTCCTTTGGTGACTCCACTGCACGGCCAGGATTGAGAACCATAAACTTTGGAAGTATTGTCAGCAATTGAGCCTTTCCTTAAACACCCATGAGGTCTTAGTAACAACAGGTAAGGGTCAGCTGCTGAGACCTGGCTTGTTAATGACACAGCGCATGACTAGTGGGTAGTTAAGATGCCCAGCTTTTTACCCAGGTTTATCCACTAATTCACAGTGACGTAGGAGAGTTCCCTAACGTCTGTGCGCTCTGTTGTCTTCCGTCTCTCAAGGGTTACCAGCTCTCCTCGGTGGGGGTGTTGCCTGAATGACATGGTGCTGTCAGGCCCTGTGCCTGTTGTTGTGGCCTCCCTGTGAGTGCTGGTCATTTGTATCCTGGGCTCTTGAGTTGACTTGACTCAGCAACACCTCCGTTTACCTTTACAGGTTTTACTGACCTGCTTTAAAGTTTACTTGAGTGCTCGCTGACTGGTCTTTATAGTAACACTGCAGCTGTGGATGTCCTGCAGTAGTATTAAATTGAAAGGCAAACTGTCCAAATCCTGTATCTCCCAAGAGGTTTCCTACTGACTCGCAATTCTTCACTCCGAAGAAGTGAAGAAAAGTGTTCTTCCCTAGTTTTGTCTCACCTGGAGGATATTATGCTATAGTTGTGTTTAGGGTCTCTGCATGTTATAAGATTGACCCTGTTTCCAGACTTAGCTGACCCTTATACACCACCTAGCCCCCTAGAATCTTCTACTTAAAAGTATACTACTTACCATATCTTGGTTCCTTGAGCTGTTCAGGGTGTTTTCTGAAAGTATAATTACTCCCAACCATCCAAGCAGTGAAACTGTCTGCCTTGTAAAGCTTAAATGTGGAAGTTTCTCCACATGTTGGAGTTTAATTTACTCATTTAAAGAAATGAATTTTGAACCCCTGAGCATTTTCCCCAGGACATCCTCTTGAATTTTGTTGACAACGCCCCCCTCCATACTCCAATCCCAAGCATAACTACTTTGGTGTTTTTAGAATGGGTCTTTTTAATTCTCCGTGTAATGGCATCCAAGATCTGGATTATGCTTTGGAGCTTCAGACCTGAGTTTTTGATTTTAGTAAATTTTTTGGTGAATTCTAGGCCCTTTGGATCTTGAAGGTTTCATTTATGTTACGAACACAGCTCAAGAGAGAGCAATAGTGTAAAACCAAGTGAGATGACATGTTTTAAAATCACTTTGGATATTCCTCCATTATGGATAAATACAAATTTATATAAGTGCAAATAAATACACATACATTATGATTAGCATGGTTCAGCAAATACCAGTGGGCGCGCTGCTGGTAGTTTTTCTTATCTTTGCCTGCTGTAATTTGTTTGCATATATATCATTTTAGACCCAAATGACTAGAGAGCATCTTAAAATGACACATTTTGCTAGCTTTTAAGGAAATTAATGTCTCAGGACACAAAAGTTTATAGGCAGATTTATATGAGTCATAAAACAGGACTGGCCCACATCAAGGTAATGTCCTTTCCAGATACTTGCACAGTATAGGTTAATAACGAAGCCTTAACTGCATTAGGTGTGTTTATCACACACCTGCTGTGTGCGAGGGGCAGAGTTCTGGTTACTATTTGCATAAAATTCTTTCTAACCGTCACTGCAGCTATTTTAGGGAGATACTAATCAGTCCCATTTCACCGGTGTGGAAGTGAAGGCTTAGGGGTTAAATGACTTCCTGCCCGGGATCTTTCTACTAAAAGTAGGCGGAGGGAGATTTAAGCCAGACAGGATCAACTCTAAAACCAGTCAGTGTTCATTGTTCTTGCTTCTACCTGCATGGGTTGCTCCACCTCATTCATTAGGAAGAGGGCAGGTAGGAAGTCCTGTGACACAAGGTGGGGATTAGCTTTGCCTTTAGGGCCCCCCTCATTTGTGGGGTTTCATGATGGCTTATGGGTCTTTTTCTCACCCTTGTTCCCTGTTTGCTTACTCTTCTCCCCCCACTCCCCCCCCCATCTCAACAGTTAGGATTGTATCACATAGCAGAGTCTCACCACAGCTTGATTTGTGGTCCCTTGTAGTGCTGGCCCGGATTTATTTTCTGAGTGAACTGTTCCTACCAGGGCTGGATCTGGATCTTCCCTGTGAATTTTCCATTAGAGCGTCTTGAGTTGGTTTGTTTTCCAGTCTGGAATTGGGACGTGGTCTCTTTGCCTGCCAGCTGGACAGCCAGCAGCTCAGCATAGTTGCTGTGACAGCCCTTTCTTTTCTTGGCCAGCCCCCTGTTTTCCCCTCAGCCGTGAAGTGGAGTCTTTGAATTTTCCAAGTGGGGAAAGGGGGAGAAGTAGAAAGGTCACACCCACCGACTCCACCTAGGTTAGTACATACTCTCCGAAACTGGGGGCGGGGGGGTAGTGTGGAATACCCATGATATCCAGTCTTTTGAAGGCAGGGCTATTCCCATTGAATGAAACACTCAGAAATAATTAGGACCAACCAAGACTGAAATGGACTAGGGTCATTTTTTTTTTTCTTTAATTGAAACATTTTCAGATTAATCTGTGGGCCCCTCCTTGCTCTCAGTGGCATCCTTTGTGTACTTCTGTGTTGAAATGGTCTCTTAATATGTCCGTTTCTGCTGTAAGGTTGCAAACTACCCCACGCACATACTCAGACTATCTCTTTTTACTTGGATAATCCCTAGTACCTAGTCAAATACCTGACACGAAGAGGTAATTTTATGGACAAGCAATTAATGACCTATATACCAGTGCAATGAAACTTCATCTTCTCAACCCTCAGTGCGCGCACACACACACACACACACACACACACGATTATTGTCCAAACATAGACCCTGAGAATTTAAAGAGACATTGGGGGTTGTCTGATCTCTACTTCCCCTTCCGTGTATGCATCTTTTCTGAAACCTCTTGACAAAGTCACTCAGCCTTTGCTCCACCCCTTCTGGTGAAGTGACAGTGGTTACTTTATGAAACTCCCATCCCATTGCCCAGAAGCCTAGTTATAGCAAAACTCTGTGGCTTCCACTCAGTGGGCTTTTAGTTCTGCCTCTGGAACAGTACAGAGCAAATCTGCAGCTGCCCTTAGACACATTTTCTTCAAGCTCCTGTGCAAGCCTCATGGCTCTCAAGTGTTTCCACTGTTGTGACCTCATCACCATGCGTGCATTTCCGTTTATCAGTGTTTTACTTTAAATGTTACCCAGGGACAAACATCATCCTGTCAGTGAGGTCTAGCTCTCACGTAATGGCAGGACTGTCCCCATTTTGGACCTGGGTACACTATTAATAGAGTCTAAAACCATCGGTGTTTTTTGTTTTGCTGTCACCTTGTATCGTCAGCTCCTCTTGAATCTGCTTTCAACCAAAACCCCCGGGTGGAGTTCTCATGAACTGCTAGGTAATCGGCTGATCTGTTGTGTCCCTTGTCACTTAGTATCACCTGAAGAGTTGATATATGTCTGTCTGTATCCCATATAAAAATGTTAACTGGAATGGAAATGCTTCACTCTCCAGACTTCTTGAAGGAAGTTGATATCTACCTACTAATTGACTTTCTTTGGGCTCTTGGTTTTACCACACACAAATATTTTTAATTCTATTGCTGCCAAGTCATATGTCCCTTTTGTTTACAGAATTAATAGGAGAAAGTGAGTTAAATACCTTGCTAATTTCAATGTACTAAGTCTTTAGAATTCCTTGATCTACAGCATAACATTTCTGTCAAGGCCCCCTCTGTCTGATTCACCAGAGTCCCTATGCTAGTTATTGAACTGAAGACAGATTCTAGATGATATATTTTTCTTTAGTGCATTATTCCCCCAATGTCAGATCTGCTTAAGGTAGAAGTCAAACAATTATATTTCTGTTATTACTCAATAGAACCCGTAAGTGTGATACACTGATATTTTTATTAGATATGCTTCTCCTCCTTTTTTAATCCTAATATTTGGCTAGGTAATAAGTTTCCAGAAAGAACTTAAGTCTTAGAAATTTGGCCATAAACTCTATCTCATAGTTTCCTAATAAAGGACTTCTGATTTTAGTAGCAAAAGGAAATATTTTCCAGCTCCCAAGAGGAAGAGATTACCATTTAAATGCATAAATATAGATGGAATTATGGTTCTGAATTACCATTTTATCTTTTTGTGCCTTTGGTTTACATGGCAAACTCATGGTGGTTCTATAGTAACAATCACCCTAGAATTGGAATACCAGAGTTAAAAGCTAGTAATCTGTGTCCTTTACAGCTGCTTAATACTGGAAGAGGGGGGAGGTTAGTTGGTTGACTTACAAGGCGAATTGCTGGAATGAAAAGAAAGTAAATTTTTTTTTTTTTTTTTTTACTTATTGGTTGAATACATTTTCTTTTTCAGAATGTGAGAACTTCCTGGATGTTGGACTGGGCAGAGAATGTGCCTCAAAACAAGGTGTCCTCAAAAGAGAATCTGGCAGTGACTCTGACCTCTTTCACTCACCCAGCGAAGAAGTGGACAGCATCATCTTCCCCAAGGTACTGTCCCCCTCAGTATGCGACTCCTGCTAGGCATACTGAGCATATCTCAGTGATCCTAGAGAAGAGTACATCCTCCCTTTCAGAGAAGGGAGCTCCAGGGCTCTGGGGCTTAGAAAAAGGCATCGACCACTTTATCTTTCGTAGGGTTGTGCCTGGTTACATGCAGGTTTTGAAGCCTGAAGAAATGGGAGTTCTTTGGTGTGAATTAAATCAGATGAAGGTGAATACTTTTCAGTGGGCAGGAAAGGACCGCAGCTCAGAGTATAACACGTCATGTGCATAAACTAACCATAGAGTCATTTCTGATTAATGTGTTTAGGCCTGAAGCTCGCTGCCCAGCTTGGTGATGTCACCCCTCCTCATCTAGCCTGCTTAATTGGAACTTTCTAGATGTCTGCTGGGGAACCCAGACTGTGAAAAGCCAAGCCCATGCACATGAGTCACCGTGTGTTTTCATATAATTTGAGGCTCTCTAAGGGGTCGGGGGATGGGAGCGGTCTGCTTTCTTTTGGTTACATTTGTATCTAGTTGCAGCTAGTTCTGTTTTGCCTCCTGAGAAGAATAGCGGGCTTTGCCACACCAGGATCAGCAAGTGGTACTCAGTCATACACCACACTTGCTTATCTTAATCGCGAGAGGGTGAAGGGGCAGAAGTACAGCAGCTGTGAGGACGCCTTTATGAAGGCTTCAGGATGACCCTGGAGAAGTGATAAAAGGGCAGTTGGGTTAGTGGGTGATGTGGTTCTCCAAGACCCTGTGAGGATGCTGTCCTGTAAGTTACAGGAGAGGCTTGGCGTCCTGGGATTCTGGGCTAGAACATAGTTAAAGCCTCTGTAAATGTACCCCTCAAACACTTTATTTTCATTTTTGTCCAGTGGCTCTCGTGCCCATTTGGCCTTCCCTAATCTTTTCCACCGTGTTCCTTTTCATTGTGCTCACTGTCTTCCAGAGGTCCTTGGAAAAATTTACAGAACTTCAGGATTCCTGTCATTGTTACTCACAGCAAATTGATTCAGTGGGTTCTGTAAAGTAAAAAATCTGCACACTGGGAAGGTCTGTCCATCTCTGAGGTTATCTAGGAAGAGGGAAACCATGATTTTTTTTTTTTTTAAATAATAGAATTTGGGTAATTTCTACTGTGACTTTGAGGTTTTCATTGTAAGGACTTCTGAACCGTCCCCCACCCCCAAGGGGAATGCCATTCTGAAGGGGCATGTCTCTCAGAATATTTTACTTGTGTCTCAGATAAACAGATAATATCTCTTAGTTCCAGCTTTAAAATTGAATCACTGACAGTCACTGAAACCGGGTTGTGGATACATGGGGATTTGTTAAACATTTATGTGTGTTTGAAATTTTTCGTAGTCAAAAGTTGTTTTGAAATTGCAGAGTCTTCATTAAGAAAGACTTGCTTGCTCCCTCCTAGGTGCATGACAGCTTGTCCCTGGATGCTGGCGTCTGCAGAATGGGAGTGATTTCTGGTCACTAAACTGAGTGATTTTCCTAGCTAAAGAGAATTTGAATTTCCTGTGTTTTGCCTCCTTACTCAAACTGCCAAAAATATTTAGGAGATTGTTCATACGAATGGCTGGTGCTAGATTTGGCAGTTTTTTCAGGATGACTAGACAGAATTGTTAAGAGTTGAAGCATACTCCCCAAATCAACTTTTACCCACATGTCATACCTGAGTGGCTCAGAAAAAAACAGAAATGGTGGCTGCGCTGTCATCTCTTCATGCACGCACGAGAATGTCGCATGGCCTGGGGCGAGATCTGGAGGGTTCTGAACTCTTGGTTATTTCCGCTTTCCCAAAGTTGGTTGTGACCAGGAGAGGTTTTGCAATAAAAGTTTTCTCTGGCATTCATAAAGCCAACCAAGGGTTTGCATATGAAAGGAAAAGGGGAGAGAGAGAGAGTCAGGCTAATTACTTAACAAAGTGGTTACTATACACTCGACACCGAACTGAATTTTTTATAATATATGTGATCTCCTTTCATGCTCCCGACAGCCCTGCGAGATGGGTGGTTTTATCCTCATTAAACTCCTGAGGGAGAGCAGGCTCTGATTGGTAGACAGGTGTAGTCCAAATTACTCAGCTGGTATGTCACAGTCTTGAGATTGTACGTAGGCCTGACTCTCCAGTCTGTTCCTTGTTACTTTGCTCTCGATCTCCAGACACCTGCTTTAATCGCCAGTGATTTATACAGAAGCAGGATGCTGGCAGACAGGCCATCGGCAGCATCCCTCACCGTCTGCCTCCGTGGACAGCCACACAGCGTGTGTTGTGAAACATCACCCTGTCCCGGAGTGCCTCCCGCTCTCCCGTCTCTCAAAATCCTCTCTGGGCAAGGCATCGCAACATTCTTTTCTGTGAACCACGAGTGGTGCGTTAGGTCACTTCCTACAGCCGTGTGTGTGATCTGGCCTCAGAGAGGTCTCTTGAGCAGCCTGCGGTGTTGGTCACAAACTCTTCACCTTAACCTTCTATTTCCATTCACCTGCCTTCTGGTAAACATGACTCGGGTGAGAGGAGCTTCCTGATTACCCTCTGAATATTTGCTAGTTCTAAGGTCTTTTTCTCTATAGATCAACAGCATAAAATTTAGATTTTTTTTTTTTAAGATTTCATTTATTTATTTGAGAGAAAGCACAGTGGGGCAGAGAGGGAGAGGGGGAAGCAGACTCCCCGCTGAGCAGGGAGCCTTATGCGGGGCTCGATCTCAGGACCCCGAGATCATGATCTGAGGCTAAGGCAGACTCTTAACCGACTAGCCACCCAGGTGCCCCTAGATTATGTTTTTAAAGTAGGAAGAAATCCTGGTCTTTTTCTCGGCACTAGCAAAGAAAGAGTGACCACAAAATGTATAATCTCGGCCACCCTGTTATTCAAAAGGTTGATTGAAGTCCACGAAAATACTGATAGTCAACTGTCTCTTTTCCCAAAGAGAATTAGATGAAATAAAACGCTCACACCTTGTTTTTTCTCCAGTTCGTAAAATATATCCACAACTAAGAAAAATCAGAGTAATTCCCCTAAGATGCTAAGCCTTAAGGGAGCATCCTTTCTTTCATGTGCTATAGTTTGCTCTCAAGTACTTGATCACCAAGCCAGATAGTTTTTAGGCTTTCAGGGATAAAAAAAATTATACTTACAGTATCCATATTAGAAAAACTGTTATTTATACACAAGTATTAAAAATTATTGTAATTTCAGAACTGTGAAACAGTTTGCTATCACATGCTTAAGATTCTTAGGTTAATTATCGCATGTAAATGGGTTAAACAGTTGGCACATATTAGGTGTTTAAAATGTGAGTTATTATTTTCCAAGGCACATGGCAGAGTGCCTTGTGTATCATAGACAACAATTTATAAATATTTAATGATTAAGTTATTAAAAACTGAAGGACTAGTATTTTGGCAATATCAAACATTCCTTCAGGGGTAGTAATAAGATAGAAAGTGTGTAGTTGTTTTTATATTTATATATACATATGTTACATAATGTTTACTCCTCTCTCTGTAACTATATAGTACCCGTCTAGTGTAACTGTTGGTTAAGAGAGCCAGTCAGGCATTTTCCCCCAACATTTTATTGAGAAAATGCTGGAACATTCATTCAGGGGGGTTGGAAGAGCTGTGCAGTGAATACCCACCACCTGGATTCTACCGTTAACTTCTTATAGTTGCTTTGTTACACACCTGGACATCTGTCCTTCCTTTTTCTACTTACCAGTCCACCTAATTTCTTTGATGCATTTCTGAACAAGTTACAGATAACAACCCACTTTTACCCCTAAATACTTAGAATTCAGTATGTGTTAATAGAGTTGTTTTTTGTTATAAAATCTACACACAGTGAAATGCGCAGTGTGAAGACTACCATTCAGTGACTTTTCCCTCAGCTTTACTGAGTTATAATTGACAAAAATTGTACATATTTGAAGTGTACAAGAGGATGTTTTGAAAGACAAACACTGTGAGATGCTTACCACAATCAGGCCAAAGTATCTATCACCTCAGAGTTACCTTTTTGTGTGGGTGGTAAGAACACTTGAAATTTACTTTTCTTAGCAGATTTCAAGTATACCGTACATTATTAGTAACCGTGGTCATATGCTATACATTAGGTCTTCAGAATTTATTCATCTCTTAACAGAGCTTGTTCCCTTTGACTAACATCCCCCCATTTCCCCCACCCTCCGGGGAAGCCCTGTTCTACTCTCTGTTACTATGAGTTGCCATTTCTGGTTTCCATGTAGAAGTGAGAGCACGTAAAGGTTGTCTGTTTCACTTAGCATGATGCCCTCTGGGTCCATCCATGTTGTTGCAAATGGCAGGGTTTCCTTCTTTTTATTTTCTTTACCTGTTCAGCTGTCCGTCAATACTTAAGATGTTTCCATGTGTCGGCTACTGTGAGTAATGCTGCTGTGAACATGGGAGTGCAGATACCTCTTCACGACAGTGGCTTTATTTCCTCTGGATATATACCTAGAAGTGGGATATTGCTAGATTATATAGAACAGTTCTGGTTTTAATTTTTTGAGGAACCTACATACTGTTTTCCATAATAGCTGCACCTCAGCAACTTTTAACAAATGATTCATCTTTGTTACCCAAACCCCCATATGGATCAGGATATTACCTTCACTTTGGGAAGTTTCCTTATGCCCCTTCTCAGTCTGTCTCCTCTCCAACCCCTTAGAGGCAACAACTGTTCTAGTTGTTTTCCCATCACAGGTTAGTTCTCTTTATTTCAGAGCCTCATACAAATGGAGTATAAATGTTATTATTTCTATCGGGTAGATGAGGGGAACAGATAGATCATACGGCTGGTATCGGTTTGGTCTTACAAAAAAATCGCCAGACCTTTCTCCAAAGTGGTTGTATCATTTTACATTCTCACCAGCAATGTATGAGAGTTTTGGTTGCTCCATGTTCTTATCAACATGTATAATTGTTTTGTTTTGTTTTAACTTTAGCATTTCTGGTGTGCATGTAGTGGTAGCTCATTATTGTTTTGATTTA